TCTAGCCAATCCCTATGCATCATCTCCCCTCCATGATGCACCATGTGTATCTGAGAGGAAGTGATATGGGGCTGGGGAAGTAAAAGGGAAAGTGGTGAGGCACAACTGGGGACCCAGGGAAGCTGTGGAGGGCCTGGATTTCTCAGCAAGGAAAGTAACCTTTTCACATTCAGCTGTACCTCTGGTCTTTTGGTCCCAGCCAGACTTATTATGAAGCCACCAAAGCCTAAGTTTTAGGGCCCCTCCCCAGCACAGGCCAGTGCAAGGCCTGGAAGGGGCTCCAGCTAAGTATAGTTGACACTTTAAGAATGTAGTGGTTAGGGGTTGCCAACCCCCTGCACAGCCGAAAATGCACCATAACTTTTGAGTCCCCCAACACTTAACTACTAATAGCCTATTATTGCCTGGAAGCATTACCAATAGCCTAAGCAGTAGATGAACATGTATTTTGTATATGTGTTATAAACTGTATTCTTGCAATAAAATAAGCCAGAGAAAAGAAAATGTTATTAAGTGATGTGGTTTGGCTCTGTGTCCCCATCCAAATCTCATCTTGTAGCTCCCATAATTCCCACGTGTTGTGGGAGGGACCTGGTGGGAGATGATTGAATCATGGGGGCAGGTCTTTCCCATGCTGTTCTTGTGATACTGAATGGGTCTCACGATATCTGATGGTTTTAAAAAATAAGAGTTTGTCTGCACTTGCTCCTCCTTGCCTTCTGCCATGATTGTGAGGCTTCCCCAGCCTCACATATGGGACTGTAATTCCAATTAAACTTTTTTCATTTGTAAATTGCCCAGTCTCTGGTATGTCTTTATCAGCAGCGTGAAAATGGACTAATACATGAAGAAAATCATAAGGAAAAGAAAATCTGTTTACTGTTCATTAAGTGGAAGCGGATCTTCATAAAGGTCTTCATCCTTATCATCTTCATGTTGAGTAGGCTGAAGAGGAGGAGGAAGAAGAGGGGTTGATCTTGCTCTCTCAAGGGGTGGCAGAGGTGGAAGAAAATCTGCATATAAAATCTGCAGAGTTCAAACCTGTGTTGTTCAAGGATGAACTGTATTCACCTGGTCAGATATTTTTTTGTGGCAAGTACATTCTCAGAGTGACTTTTAGACCATTCTACATGTCTTGATACAGACCAAGCAAATGTTTTAAAATTCGTAACGATTAAAAATCAAAAGAGGAAAGACAATCCTACTTAAAGAGAAAAAATGGGCAAAGGACATAGACTGAGACACTTCAATAGATGCTCTTAGATATTTAACAGTGATGATGAAGAGTGACGTCCCTTCCCACTCTGCCATCCCTCCTATCACACCTCCCCTGCAGGAAGGTGGTGTTGGAGGGGCTGTGGGTATTGTAGGGATGCCACTAAGGGAAAGTTTAGTTGGGAATGCATTTATATTAGGCTTAGTGGGGATATAGGGTTCACAACACCTGTGAGTAGAGTCATGTAATCGCCAGAGTTGTAATGGCTGCAGGATTCCTCCTGCTGCTTGCACACTGGCTCCACTTCTCTCATATAGTGATACAAAGTTGCACGGCTGGCAGACTTAAGGCTCACAAGACCTTGTGCCACGTAGCCTTTGCTAGCAACAAGCCTCTGCCAGCAACAGGTAGTGGAGAAGAAACAAGGTTAAAAATGTAGGGAAGCCAATCATGTGCAATTGCTTCAGCGAAGCCTTTGTAAAACAAATATTCTCAAGGATGTAATGTACATAAAATCACCCTGCGGATTTTTTTCTTTTATAATGGTAATCATGTAAAATAGAATTGATCAAAATTCCTACAGTAGGACAGCAGAAACCTATAGCTACGCTACAAAAAGCTAGGAGGTCGAGACCAGCCTGGCCAACATGGTGAAACCACATCTCTACTAAAAAGAAAAAAAAAAATTAGCTGGGCATGGCAGGAGGTGCCTGTAATCTCAACTACCAAGAGGCTGAGGCAGGAGAATCACTTGGACCCGTGAGGTGGAGGTTGCAGTGAGCCGAGATAACACCATTTTACTCCAGCCTGCGCAACAAGGGCAAAACTCCATCTCCAAAAAAAAAAAAAAAAAAAAAAAAAAGCACATGTGTGTGTGAAATTGAAACCACATGATTTTTGCATCCCAGATATCTAGAGTTAAACATTTTTTCCATTTCCATTCCCCATGCTAGAGGAAGGACTGAATTATCTATTTCCAGAATTTAAAACATTATTACAAAATTGTTGTCATGTGAAGGGGTGGATCAAAGGGTGTACAGCCAACACATAATATAATAGTATAATAATGGGTTGGTTGTACACTCTTTGACCACCTTATATAATCTTTTATATGTATATTATATAAGAAAAATATATAATAAAAGCATTTCAAGCAGTTAATAAAAATATCATGTACATTTTCTGGATTTGTTATGTGGATATATATCAACATTATAAATTCATAATTTATTACAATTAATTTTGTCATTCTAAGTCAATATTGTCTCATACCTAATTCTGTATTCACAATTTTGTCTTCTCATCTTTAATAGGGCTTCCCCTCAATTGTACTACTTTCAAGCCTATAAAATCTAGATTATTGTTCCCCTATTTCCTTATTTCTTTTCTTATTCAGTTTAGATTTCAGGGACTGTAGGAGCTCGTTTTCACGCTGCTGATAAAGACATACCCGAGACCGGGCAATTTACAAAAGAAAGAGGTTTAATGGACTTACAGTTCCACATGGCTGGGGAGACCTCACAATAATGGCAGAAGGGAACGAGGAGCAAGTCACATCTTACATAGATGGCAGCAGGCAAAGAGAGAGCTTGTACAGAGAAACTCCCCCTTATAAAACCATCAGATTGCATGAGACTTATCCACTATCATAAGAATAGCATAGGAAAGACCATCCCCCATGATTCAATTACCTCCCACTGGGTCCCTCCCACAACATGTGGGACTTGTGGAAGATGCAATTCAAGATGAGATTTGGGTGGGGACACAGCCAAACCATATCAGGGACCAACATCACACTGCTGTTTTGCAAGCATCCCTAACACTGTTGGCATGTTCTCCATTTCCCTAGTAAAACTTCAGCCATGTCTAAGCACAACTAAATACCTACTTAGCACATACACACAAGTCACCAAACTGAGCCACCAGAAAACACAACACTGGTGCTGATTTTACTCACTTGAAATTCAGAACGACCAAGTTTAAATGAGCTCAAACTGTTCAGCAATCCTATGCACTTTTGTTGTATGTCTCTCACTCTGAAATAATCATGCCACTGTGGGTTCTCTTTATTCAAATCTCCTACCTCTCTTCTTGCCCAAATCTTCACTCTCAGTTGCTGCACATTTCATTGATACAATGGATGCCACCACACGAAACTTTCTTTTCTCACCAATAAATTTTCCGGTACATCTTGCCTTCTTTGATGAATGAAGTGTCTTTGCTTGGATTAAAGACTAAACCCTCTACTTAATTCTGGCTTCATACTTTTCCTGTAAATTTCACCTGTCTTTCTGGCATCACAAACGCATCCCTTTCTACTGGATCATCCCAATTACCACATTAAATCTGGTATTTCCTGTCTTTAAAGGAGAGAGGGGGAAAAAGGAGACAGAGACAGAGAGAGAGAGACAGAGAGTGAGAGAGAGAGAGAGAGACTTCCTAAATCCCTATAAGTTTCCCAGCTGCTGCCCATTTCTCTGTACCCCTACATAGTAGATCACCTCAAAAGACGTTTCTGTAGCCATTCTATAGCCATCTCCAATACACACACACGTACACACATCCTCTCCCAAATCAGACTACTTCTCACTACCTTCACAGCTGTTATCGAAGCCCAAACCACCATCATCTCTGGCCTAGATAACTTGAATCAACCAACTGATTTCACCCTTACCCTCACATTCAGTTCTTTAAATAGCAGCAGGATCAGTATTTTAAAATGCAAAATCTGGTTAAACCCCCTATGATGACTTCAATGGCTTCCCATCACATCTACAAAAAATTGAAACCTCTTTTCCTAGTTTTCAAAGACTCTGATGATCTGGCATCTCTTTTTCTCTCCAATTTAATCTTCCTCATGCACTTTGATCACCTCAAGTGCTGTGCTCTATAGCACATCTGATTTATTTCTATTCCTTAAGCAAGTGAATTCCTGCCTTGGGGACTCTGCAATTTCTGCTCTCTCTGCCTGGTGTACTCTTCCTCAGGATTTCCATATAGCTTTCCCTTTAATTTCTATTTATTCAATTTATCTCAAAAGTATCCTTCTCTGAAATTCCTCCCCTGAGCACTGTTTCTAAAGTAGCACTTCCTTTCCATGCTCTCAGCTTTATTTTCTTCTTAGCACAGGTCACTACCTGGCCTTCACATTGACCTGTTTATGTGTTATCTGTTTATGTGTTTACTTTTTGTCTCCTCCACTAGAACACATGTGCCTTGTGAACAAGGGCATTATCTCTGTTGTTTTCTGCTATATCTCACGGCCTAGGACGGGGCATGACACAGAGTGAAAACTCAACAAATATGTGGAATGAGTGAAAGAGTGAATGAATGGATTAGCTCTTCAGTCTACTCCTATCCCAGTCATACTTCTGAAATTGTCAAACTCACCAATCAGCTCCAGGATGTTTCCTCTGTCATCTTTCTTTCTTCTTTTTTCTTTCTTTTTTTTTTTTTTTCTGAGACAGAGTCTTGCTCTGTCACCCAGGCCAGAGTGCAATGGTGCGATCTTGGCTCACTGCAACCTCCGCCTGCTGGGTTCAAGCGATTCTCCTGCCTCAGCCTCACAACTAGCTCGGACTGCGGGCATGCGCCACCATGCCTGGCTAATTTTTATATTTTTAGTAGAGACGGGATTTTGCCATATTGGCCAGGCTGGTCTCCAACTCCTGACCTCAGGTGATCTGCTCCCCTTGGCCTCCCAAAGTATCTGTCATCTTTCTTGTTATGTGAATTATTTATGGTGTGGGCTATGAGGTTAAAATAGAGACCCCAAATACAGTGATTGTAGAGCGAATTTACTTTATTTTTTTCACAAGGGAGTCCAAATGGCAGTAGGCAATCCACAGCAGACAGATGGCTCGCTTCTTAAGAGCATTCAGGTTCCTAGGTTCCTTTCACCAGTTTCTCTGATATTCCTTGGAGTACTGTCCTCATGTGCATGATGGAAGCTAAGCCCCTTCCATGTCCACATTCCAGCCTATGGAAAACCAGGAAAAGAGAAAGGGGGCATGCACACCCAATACTGTAAGGCCAAGTATAGCACATTGCATAAGCTTCTTTTTCTCACACTCCGCTGACTCGAGCTCAGCCTCATGGCCACATCTAGCTGCAAAAGAGACTGGGGAATGTGGTCTCCATGTAAGCGGCTTTGTGTCCAGCTAGAGCTCAGTGGTTTCTATTACTAAAAGAAAAATGGAGAAAATGGGTACAGAGAACAAGCAGGAGTCTCTGCCACATCTTACAAGCATTTGTTACAGAGGATCATTCTCTCCTTCATAGAATACTTTTGTTCTTTTGGCTTCAGTGACACCACCACACTCTCCTGGTTTTCCTCCGGCCCCTCTGCCTACTCACTCAATCTCTTTTGCTGGGTGAACTTATTCTGTTTGAACTCTGCATGTTGGACTTCCTGAAGGCTTCGTCCTGTGCCATCTTTTATTCCTTCCATCTACATGCTTCTCTAGGTAATTTTATTTAATTTATGTGATTTTATATTCCACATTGATAGAAATAATTTCTGAATTTATGTCTTTAGCCATGACCTTTCCCTGGAGCTCCAAATTCATATATCCAGTCGCATAATTAACATAGCTGATCATAACTCTTGGTTGCTTGGGCTACCCATGCCCCTCTCCCAAGCCTGCTCCTGCTTCAGTTTTCTGCATTTCAAGAAACAGAGAAATAGTTTCAGCATCATTCCAGGTGCTCAGACAAAAACCTTAGGTATCATTCTTAGCTTAGTTCTTCTCTCACTTCCCCTCATCCAGTTCATTGACAAGTTTATACCCTAAACCTCCAAAGAAACATATCCTGAGTTTGTTAACTTTTTTCTGTCTTCCCCATTACCAGCCTGAGCCCAGCCAGCCTCACCATTTTACTGGATGACTCATCTTCCTGCTGCCACTTTCACTGCCAACAAGCCAACCTTACACAGCGCCCTAAGTGATGAATTAAAAACATAAATCGGTTCATGTTGATCATTGAACCCTTTCCCATCTCACCTTGAATAAAACTCAAACTCTCTACCCTGGTCTACAAAGCCCTACAGGGACTGGCACCATCCACCTCTCCAGCCTCATCTCATGTCACCTGCTTTCTCAATGACCCACTCCCATCACAGTGGCACATACCAAGTCTATTTCCATTTTAGGGAAGATATGAGGCAGAAAGACCTGAAATGGATGTTTTCTCTGCATGAAATGCTTGTACCCCAGATCTTCCCCAGGAAGCTCCTTCTCATCCTTTAGGTCACACTGCAAAGGTCAACTCCTTAGAGAAGTTGTCTCTGTCCACGCAGTCTGCGGTAGACTCGCCCTTTCAACCCACCACTCTTAGTCGCATCACCCTGTCTTATTCTCTCAATAACAGGTAACACTACCTAGCAAAATATATGTGTTTATTCGCTGTCCGTATCCCCTCACAGTGGATGTGAATTTCATGGGAGCAGGGCTTGTCTTGGGCCCTACTGCAATCCAGGGCCAGGCACATGTTGGGCCCTCAGTAAGGATCTGCTGAATGAATGAATGTCTGAATACAGCTCCAATTCTGGAACCTCTTTAGCATCCCAGGAGTATTCTAAAGAACATGACAGCGTGAAGAAAAATTCTATATTTCCAACGTCTTTTAAAGACTTTTTCCAAACTGCCTTAGTACCATAAAACCTGCTTTTCTCTTCTATATAAGGACACAAAATTATATTCTCCTTTAGTAAATGCACTCAGGCAGATTCAGGAGAGACCACAGCTTGTAGTGCTCAGGTTCTTAATCTAAGTCCATGGACCTCCTAGGGGTCCACGGATATGCTGAAATTATATGCAGAAGATACATTCATTTCTCTAGGAAGTAGGGTCATAAGTTTGTTGGATACTCACAGGGGGTCAGTGGCCCAAATAAAATCCACTTTATTGTGGAAAAAGTATTAGAGACCAGGCACGGTACCTCATATCTGTAATCTCAACACTTTGGGAGGCTGAGGTGGGTGGATCACTGAGGTCAGGAATTTGAGACCAGTCTGGCCAACATGGCGAAACCCTGTCTCTACTAAAAATACAAAACAAACAAACAAACAAACAAAAATTGCCGGGCAAGGTGGCAGGTGCCTGTAATCCCAGCTACTAAGGAAGCTGAGGCAGGAGAATCACTTGAACCCGGGAGATGGAGGTTGCAGTGAGCCAAGATCATGCCACTGCACTCCAGCCTGAGTGACAAAGTGAGACTCCATCTCAAAAAAAAAAAAAAAAAGGTTTAGAGACGGACTTGCAAGATCTGTATTTGAGTTCTGGTGATGTCAGTCACAAATAATGCAAATTTGTGCAGATTATGTAATTTATTTAGATTCTAGTTTTCTTATCTTTAAAAATAATCGGACTTACATGTATTCTGACTTACACGTACCCACACTTAAATTATATTTAATCCCATCACAGGATGCTATGTGCTTTACTGTATCTCCCAGATAATGACAATGAGGCTCAGAGTCTACTCAGGCTACTTGCCCCAAATCACATTTGTCCCCATATAAGTTCTGGATCAAGACCCATGCTTCTCCCATGCTTCAAATTGCCTGCTCTTTTATTTATTTTTTTATTTAGACACAGTCTCACTATGTCACCCAGGCTGGACTGCAGTGGTACGATCTTGGTTCACTGCAACCTTCACCTCCTGGGTTCAAGCTATTCTTCTGCCTCAGCCTCCCAAGTAGCTGGGATTACAGGTGCCCGCCATCACGCCCAGCTAATTTTTGTATTTTTAGTAGTCACAGGATTTCACCATGTTGGCCAGGCTGATCTCAAACTCCTGACCTCAGGTGATCCACCCACCTCCACCTCCCACAGTGCTGAGATTCCAGGCATGAGCCACCATGAGCAGCCTGCTCTTTACATAAGAGTTTGCAGTACCATCATTCCGCAGTCCAATTTCTCTGGGTGGAATAACGTCTTGGACCACTTCACAGCAAGTACCATAGAGAAAAGCAGCTAGCTGGTGATGTAGTTTCCCAGCCAGGTAAGCACACTCCTGAACCACAGCAGAGCCCTGTGAACCCAGGAGTATGGGCTTTATAATCCATTCTTGACAGAAGAGAAAACGAAAGCACAAAGAGATTAAGTAATTGACTCTAGGTCAGAAGGTTAGTAATTTTTAGGGCTTAAAGATTATGCTTCACGATGTAGTATTTTCTTAAATTTTCTACTAAGATGACCTTGAGAATCTCTACTAAGATTCTTCACTAGAGAGCTGACTCTTATCTTCACAGTTTAGTATTTGGCTGTTCTTCAAAAAATTATTTTAAAGTACTTTGCAAAGCTTGAGTAATATTTTTTTTCTAAGAGGACAGGAAGATACGTAATGTGCCCATTGAACAAGGACTAATGACATTGTTAGGAAGGAAGGAAAAAGGATATCACTTCTACATCGATTTCAGTTTTTATGCATTAACACCAGACAATGACCTCTAAAATGAGAAGAGCGCCAGCTTAACATTGTAAATTGACAAGGATCTTGGAAATGAGGAATTAAGGTCAGAGATTCGACTGTATAGATTCTACTCATGGCAGGGTAAGAGGCAACCGAGAATAACATGAAAGCAACTGGTAAGTATTTGACTTCTTTTTTTTTTCCTTTCCCTCTGCTTACACCAATGGTCTATTATACTTCATAAAAAATAGAGACAGTACTGAGACTGTTTCCAAGAGAGCCTTTAGGTGGCTAACAGTGTCACACTGGCCAGTCTCAGGGACCAGCTGTGCAGTTCACTTTTGATTTGAAATACAGTTGTTGTTAAGCATAAGTTAAAAGCTGAGTTCTCAAAAGTTGTGTCATTGCATAGGAGTTTAAATATAAGCAATAGCTTATTGGCTACTAAGTGCAGTTTTTGTAGTCCTCCCATCCAAATATGCCTCTAGATCATATACTCTGGTCAGATATGCTTTTGAGAGACTGTTCAGGCAAAGGCAAGTCTACCTTCCCAGATGGTTTTCAGTGCATTTCTGCCCCACAAACCAGAGCAACTCTCCAGTTTCTTTCTTTCTGTCTTTCTTTTCCAAGGTCAAAGCTCAGACAGCTTGGTTCTCCAAGAGACTGATGGCCCCAATCCCTGAAATGAACAGCAGTCCTAAAGAGCAACAGCCTCTCTGCCAAGGGGAATGGCAACACCAGGCAAAGCCAATGGACTCACATCTCTTTTATGATTCCATGAGGCGTTCATAATCACAGGGAGTAGCTGCATTGCTAATTAGGGGTCACAGAGGTGGTGAGGGCCTCATTCATTCATTCACTCTTTCTTTCAGTGAATACATCTTCAACTGGAAACAATTCTTTTGATGATTATCTGAATGTTCTCCCAGCATGAAGGCCTGCTTTCCATGACCTCTACGTCTCATCCGCACTTGGCCAACCACGGAATCAATGAGATTTGACCCACCAAACATCAGACCCTTCCTATAAAAAACTAATCTTTTTATTCAACAAATATTTCTTGAGTGATCACTACCTATGAGCGCTATGCTAGGTGTTGGGGATAAAACAATAAACAAATGAGACAAAATCATGGCCTTCAAGATGCTTGTTTTCTAGAGGGCAGAAATACACAACACATACAAAATACTAACATTTCAGATTATGGTATATTCCATGGAGAAAGCTAAAGAGGTCAAGAGAATAAGGAATGTAGGTGCATACGTGCATTACATACAGAGTAGTCCCAGAAGACTCCTTTGATAAGGCAACATTGAGCAAAACTGGAAGGAAGTCAAAAGTCAAGTCATGCAGAGGTGTGGGAAAAGAACTTTCTAGGCAGAGGGAACCGTGAATGCAAAGGTCCTAAAAGAGGAGCAAGTTTGTCTTGTCTGACAAATGATGATACGCATGGGTGAGCAGGAAAAGTGATAAGAGATGAGGTCAGAGAAACAATGGAGCCAGATTGAGTAGGACCTTAGAGGCTACTCTAGGATGCTGCCTTTTACTCTGAGTGCATTGGAAGCCACTGGTAAGTTTTGAGCACCAATGGCTATTTAGGCTGCTCTGAGGAGAATGGAATATGGAGTGAAAGGCTGGGAGCAGGCAGACCAGTCAGGAGGAACAACAGAAATTGCTGATTGCCACATAGTAGCCATCTGCCCTTTCTTTCTTTAGCAACAGAAACCTGATTCTTGCCAGGTGTGGTCGCTCACGCCTGTAATCCCAGCACTTTGGGAGGCCGAGGTGGGCAGATCACGAGGTCAGGAGATCAAGACCATCCTGGCTAACACCGTGAAACCCCGTCTCTACTAAAAAATACAAAAAATTAGCCAGGCGCGGTGGTGGGCGCCTGTAGTCCCAGCTACTCGGGAGGCTGAGGCAGGAGAATGGCGTGAACTCAGGAGGCGGAGCTTGCAGTGAGCGGAGATCGTGCCACTGCACTCCAGCCTGGGTGACAGAGCAAGATTCCATCTTAAAAAAAAAAAAGAACCCTGATTCTTATTTGGCAGCAATGCAACCAGCTAAAGTCTAGATTTCCTAGTACTCCGTCCCCTGTCCCTTACAATTAGACAGAGTCCTGTGATTAATTTCTGGCCAATGACCTATAAGAAAGTAGATTCATAGCACACTTAGGAGCACCGCTTAAAAACAGCCTACTCAATTGGGAGGAGTTCTTTGCTCTTTTGCTTCCTTCTGCTGCCAACCTGGAACATAGACATAATGGCTGGAACCCTAGCAGCCATCTGCAACCATAAGGAGCCCTTTCTGTTTTGTTTTGTTTTTCTCCCCTTCTGCATTCTTATCATTTATTTGTTGTAAGAACACTCAAAATCTATTCTCTTAGCACTTTTCATACAATGTTATTAACTGTAGTCCTTATAGAACTCTTGAATTTATTCCTGCTGCCTAGCTGAAATTTTGTATCCTTTGACCAACATCTCCTCAATCCCTATCCTTCCCTCCTTAAACCCTGTTAACTATAATTCTACTCTCTGCTTCAATGAGATGGACTTTTTTAGATTTCACCTATAAGAGAGATCATGTAGTATTTGTCTTTCTGGGTCTGGCTTATTTCCTTTAACATAATATCCTCCAGATTAACCTATGTTATTGCAAATGACAGGATTTCCTTCTTGAGGCTGGATAGTATTATCCATTCATCCATTGATGGACACTTCAGTTGATTCCATATCTTGGCTATTGTGCACAATGCTGCAATGAACATATCAAAGAGGTATGAATATTTCATACCTTTTCGAAATGCTGATTACATTGCATAATATGGCCTTTAAAATGGAAGCCACGTGCTGAGGATGGTGGAACAGAACGCTCAGGTGGGTCCCTGAGGATAGCATAGAAATACCACACCTAATCTGGACTGCCTATTTCTGGACTCGTTTTATATGAGAGAGAAATGGCCCGGGCACGGTGGCTCATGCCTGTAATCCCAGCACTTTAGGAGGCCGAGGTGGGTGGATTATTTGAGGTCAGGAGTTCAAGACCAGCCTGGCCAACTTGATGAAACCCCGTCTCTACTAAAAATACAAAAATTAGTCAGACTTGGTAGTACACGCTTGTAATCCCAGCTACTTGGGAGGCTGAGGCACGAGAATTGCTTGAACACAGGAGAAGGAGGTTGCGGTGAGCTGAGATCATACCGCTGCACTCCAGCCTGGGCAACAAAGGGAGACTCTGTCTCAAAAAGAAAAAAAAAAGACAGAGAGAGAGAGAGAGAGAGAAATAAAGTTCTTTTCTGTTTAAGCCACTGGTTTTTAAATTTGGGTTTTTTTCCAGCTATATGTAGCTAAACTGAAACACGATGAATATAAGTAGCCTTTGCAACAATCCAGGTGAGAGAAGATATTGGTCTGGCCCCGGTGGGGTGGCAAAGGAGGTCAGATTTTTTCTTTTTGAAAGGTAATGCCTATAGGATTTGCAGATGGTTTAGATACAAGAATAAATGAACTATTAATAGAAAATCTGACTTCCAGTTTGGGGCCCAAGTGACTTGAGAGTGTAATGATTTACAGAAATGCAGAAGGCTATGGAGGGGACAGGCTTGGGTGTGGGACTGGGGTTGGTGGGAACGGCAGTCTAGGGCACATGTGGCAGCATGGCCTTGATAGAAGCAGGAACACAATGAAACAGGAAGGGAGGCCAAGAGCACGGGGCATAGATTGGTAGGAAATGAATGAGCTCTCATCCTACTGCTTCTATTTTCTCAACAAAGTCTGATCCAGGTCATCCCCTGAGACTGAAGGGAAGAAAGCAGAGGGTGGAGATGGGAGGTTTGAAGACAGAGACACTATAAAATAGTCCTTTTAGTGAGTGGGATTGCTGGGCAGCCATGGGTGTGCATCCATCTGAAATTTGTGCTCTCTAATATAAAGAAAAGCCACTTACCAGCGCTGTGTGTTTTTCTGCAATCCAGTCCAGTTGCATGATTGGGTTTAACTGAGCCTGGGTTTCACCAGACAAGCACTGTAGGACAGAAGATGAGAGAAACAGGGAGAATGAAGGGGTGTTTGCAAGAAGGATCAGAATGATGGATCAGTAATCAAAACTGGATAAAGAAAGAAGTAAACACATGAGATGGATGAACACAGAGTTGACAGTTCTTGAAAAGACCGAAAAACAGGGTGGGTTCCAGAGAAGCCAAACAGAGAAGGATAGAAGGTTGTGAAGGGGGAAAAGGAGATTTTGGAGGAGATGCAATTAGTCATCATTGAGGACAAAGGTCAAATGAGTCACTGGAGAGAGAAGGAATTGAGAAGCTAAAGATATTGAATGGAGGTCAAGGTGCTGAATAAAGTATATTCCATTATAAGACTACTAATAAAATTCGTTCACAACTTCCTCTAATTAGATTTGTTATCTGCTTTGAATAAAGATACCATTCATTAGTCTAAGTACTTTAAATTTAATTTTTTTTCCTGAAGGGATATTTATGGGACTTCAAAGAACAAAGTTTTACCCAAACAACTAAGTTTTTGTTGGGTGAAAATACAAAGCATTTTTTTCCATGTGAAACTTCTTTGTATCTTGATATCTTTTCTTTTTCTTCTGTGAGTTATTTTAGGCGGCGAGTCTATTAACGCAATCTTTTAAAGATTGACCTGTTTATTCTCCCTAAAATAGTTCATGTCGTAGCTTGTTTCTTCTAAGCTGGACTTTGCCCCCTTGTACTTTCCTCACAACATTTTCATTGTTTTTTAAAATAACATTTATTCTCATATTTACTTATTTTTCTCAGATGTTTGTTTCCTTTCTTCCTGCTCCATCTCCCTGTTCCTCAGATTCCTTTCCTTAGGAGAAAAAATTGGGATATTTCCCACAGCATGCTGTGAGAAAACTCTCTGGACTTCCTGGGGGTGGGACTTGTGAACACAGAGGGTCTTGCACACTATTTTATATCCAGCGAGTGTTCAGATTACAGGGCCAGGCCTCAGATACAGGTCCAGTTGTGGAAGGTGGTCCCTGAAACATTATGAACACTGCTTTGCTCCTTCCGTCTCCTAGTCCCTCTTCTTAAGCTCAAATGTTATTAATCGGGAGTCTGTTCTGGGCTACTCATTGCACTGATTAAAGTAATTCACATTAACGAGCAATGACTGATCTACTCAGTTCTCTTAGGGGAAGTCACATTTCTAAAATGTGCATATTAATCCATATAAAACCCTGATTCTAGAGATAAATGTGAAACAAATGATTAACACTCTATTCAGGGTTTTCAGAGACAGAACAAAAGATTTTCTCTTGTCTTGGGGCCCCAAAACAGCCTTCTCATCCCTTAGAAAGTGGGCTAGGACAATGTAAAACTGGGCAGAATATTGTGTGTGTGTGTGTACATGTGTCTCTCTGTGTGTGCAGCACCTCTCACCTCATCTACACATCTCTCTAGCTCATGATACATGTTTCAAATCATGAACCAGAGATATTCATATGTGAACGCGGTTAAGACATATTCTTAAAGAGTAAGTTCTCAGTCTAGGATAATATTTTGTAATTTTCCATATAAAATTCTTCAGATGCCCAACTTGTTGAAGGTTTTTAGGAGCCTAGTCTTAGAATCACAGAGGTTCGTGGCTCCTGGTTCCTCCTTAAATCCAATTGTTCATTACTGGAATATACAAATGAGTAGGGAGCCAGAGATGATAGGCACCAGAAACTGAGGTTTCCATTTCTCAACGTGGCCTGAACTAAATGAATTAAATCTCATCCTCCTATGGGAAGTGGAGGAAAAGAGCTCTGGCTGGGAAGTACTGCTGTGCAGTGGTTAGTATAGTGGGTCTGAGGGTCAAATAGATTTGAGTGCAACTCCCAACCCAACTCCCACTACTAGCTTTGGGACCTCGGGTGAGTCACACAGGCCTCAGGTGCTACAGCTTCTAAAAATAGTGATAATAGTATTCTTACATAAAGTGTGGCTGATGAGAGCAGCCCTTCCGTGGGTCAACCACCCCATCAGAGGATCTGTGCCTACGATAGAGCCTTTTCTGCCTCGGGAGGTTCTTTCGGGTCCAGAAGCTTCCCCATGGAGGGAAGAGAGGCAGCAATGAAATCGGCGTATAGGGGGACTGGGCTCTTTCCCCTTCATGTCTACCAGGGCAATGACCTCCTAGAGTCCGCTATGCACCCCCCACTTGCCTCTCTGGTCACTGAGAGGTGAAGTAGTTGTAGGACCAAGAAAAGCAAGAAGAGAGCGTCCTCTTCTGCTCCCCTTCCCGGGAGTCTGGGCGCTGAGCCTGGCCCTCTGGGGCGTGTTTGAACATAACTCGCACCGCTTACTCTTTTCCCATCTCAGCAGTATTGAGCCTGTATCCTAGTACCTTTTGCCGGCCTTGTGTAAGCAGCTTGCACGGGATATATAAGGAGAATCAAGTTTCTGAACTTCAAAAAATGTAAAGTCAGTCGTGCTTCTTCCTGCCGGTGACTGTTTACGAGAGGGAAGTCAGCGGGGCCCCGAAGAGGTCGCTGGTGGCGCAGAAACCGCGGCCAGATTGTAAAGAACAGGGGAAGGAAAAAAAAAAAAAAAAAAAAAACCCAGAAAGTTTCTTCCTTGTTGCGAATAATCGCCGCCCCCCCACCTCCGCCCCCAGCAGAAGCAGTAACGTGACACCCGAGCGAAATCCCGAGACCAGAGCGGAGAGGGAGGGGAAAGGGAGGAGAGAGCCGCGGAGCGCCGGAGGGAGAAAGGGGAGGAGAAGGAGGAAAACCCCTGTCAAGGAGGTGGAGCGAGGGGATGGTGTCCGCCTCCTGTTCCTCCCTGCCGTTTTTTAGAGAAGCCTGAACCGGGACAAAACACGCTGAGACCTACAGACACAAAGCCGGGGGGTCCACGCTGGCGCTGGAGGCGAGCCCCGGCGGCCGCAAGCGAGCCCGAGGCGCTGCAGGGCGCTGGGCGTGGGGACGCTAGCGGGCGCGGGACGGGCGCGGCGCCCCGGTACGGGCAGCGCCCCGAACCGGGGCCGGACACCTCGGCTGCTCGGGCCGCGGCGGCGGGGACCATGCCGAGGAAAGTCTCCTGAGCCCGGCAACTTCGGCCCCTCCCCGCCCCCACCCGCTGCCCTCCGCGCGGCCCTCCCCATGTGCAGCCGGCCAGCCGGGCTCTCCTCCTCGCGGCGGATGGGTGACCTTTTCCTGGCACGAGCAGGCTGTGCGAGGCGGCGGAGCAGGCGATGAAGAAGAAGCAGCAGCATCCCGGCGGCGGCGCGGATCCCTGGCCCCATGGGGCCCCTTTGGGGGGCGCCCCTCCGGGCCTGGGCAGCTGGAAGCGCCGGCTGCCCCTGCTGCCTTTCCTGCGCTTCTCCCTCCGGGACTACGGCTTCTGCATGGCCACCCTGCTGGTCTTCTGCCTGGGCTCCCTCCTCTATCAGCTCAGCGGGGGACCCCCTCGCTTCCTGCTCGACCTGCGGCAGTATTTGGGTAAGGAAGCTGGCCAGGCTCTAGGGCGGCGCCTACTGCGCAAAGTTGTGCGGCGGGGAGAGGGGCGCGCCGGGGACTTCTCGCGCTGCCACCGCGCGCGCGGCCGCCGCCGCCCCGGGGCTCTCCAGGTGCGAAGCCCGCGAGCATCTGTGCCGCGGTCTGGAGCGCCTTTTTCCTCCCGCGCGTCCGGCTGGCCTCACCCAGACGGTGGCGCCGCTGGGTTGCACTGCCTACAGGTACCCCGGGGCAGGGCACCGCTCACCTTCCGCCCGTCCCACCTCCGCCACCCCCGCCCCGGCTGGGGCGGAGTGGATGGGTGTGTAGGGTGTGCGGGAGTGTGTATCTTCAGGCTTGGCGGCGCGGGGAGTGGCGAAGGAAAGGGACAGTCCGCTCCGTGGCATTGTTAGTGACCACAGTTCCGTCCCGTTCCGCGCGCCGGGGAGTGCGGGTGGGTTTAGCCCCTCCCCACGGTCCCCTCTGAGAATTCTGTCCCGCGGATCCTGCCCGCCAGCCCTGTTGGCTCCGTGCTGTCCCCGGGCTGGCTTGTCCTTTGGCCGCCGCTGCCTACCCCGTCGCCCGCAGCTAGCCTGGCGCGGGGAACGGGCTGCATCTAGGGGTTTGGGGCTGCCAGAGGGCGCGGGTCAGCCTGGCCAGCAGTGTCGCCTCCAGTAACCCGAGGATCCTCGGCGCTGTGTGCGTCTCAAGCTCAAGTCAAAACTTGTGTGTGTGTGATTTCTTAGGAGAGAGGACGCCTATCTTTAGCAGAAGTAAGGAAGGGGTTGTGACGGGAGGGAAAAAGCCCTTCCAGCAAGAAGGCGTGACCCCGCAGCTCCCTTGTTTCGGCTACGGGAGCCAGGGGTGCCAGGGCTGGGCGAGCGCAAGCCCAGGTCGCAAGGACGATGCTGGCCTGCGCGTTCGAGCCAAGGGAGGATGCAGATCCCTCAGAAGTCTGTAGCCAGAAGAGGTCGTGCGGGGGTGAAGGCTGGGAGAGCTCCAGCTTCTTGCAAGCATTCGAAGTGATAAGCCTGAGCATCTGCACGATGAGAGCGAGTGTGGGGAAGCAGAGCCACCGAAGTGCTGGAAGGAAAATGGGCCCAATGACCCGGGCCAGCTGAAGGCTGCCATAGTTACCCCAAATGTCGCTTCGTGGCAGAAGCCACAGGTCTAGATAGCAGACCGTCTGGAGAATAGAGAAAAGAAAAGAAAACCCAAAACAAACAAACAAAACAAAACAAAAAAACAAAACCACATCAGCAAAGTTACAAATGTGTTAGGGAATTTGGAAATGTAGACGTGGATAAAATAATGTTCTTTATCTTGTACATGACCTCATATTTTAAAAGTTACACTTTTATTTCTTTATAAACTTTGGGGAACTATAGATGAGAGGAAAAGTTTGCCCAAGTAGATTTCCAAAGCATTTGGTTTCATAGAGGATTTGGGGCAATATACCCTTTATTAGGGAATCAAACCTTTTCTTTTCGTAAGTTCTATATTGTGGAGTCTCATAACTTCCTCCACTCTCTGACACCTGCTAGTGCCACAAAAGTTAACAGTATTTTCATCACCAGCAGCAATCCCTGTTAACAGGCATTGGGAGGCAAGCGTTGAGGCTCAGGGTCTTTCTCCATTAAGTGTGACAATGAATTCTTGCAGAAGTTCTTTTTAAGTAATATATGGAGGCTAGGGGTGTAGGGAAAAGTGTAAGGGACCAGAATGGAAAACGCCTGTGCTCATTGTCCTCAAAGCACTTGGTCTTGCGTAGGGTACTCAAGATTTCATAGGCCTAGTGTTTCATGGCAGAATTAGAAGCCAGACCTGACTGTCAATGAAACTTCCCACCCAGCTCCTAAAGTTTTGGGGTTCTGACACCTTTCTTGAGGAAGGGAGATTCTGGGAGGAGGAAGGAGCAAAGGTACTACTGAGGATAAAATCAAGAAATTTCAACATATATTGCATTAACATTTTCACTTTATATTTCCAAACAATGAGGCCTGATAAATTTGGGTGGTCAGCTGGTAGAAGGGTGAATTCTCAGCTTCTGCTCAGGAAACTAGGAAGAACTGAAAGATTGAACGCTGCTTCTGTTACTAGCTGATCATTACATTTCTGACTGATGTGATAGGTTCAAAATGACATCATTGTGAACTGAAAATAGGATACCCTTGGCCAAATTTGTTCCCTGTTGTCTTGTCACGTAAATATAATGATTTTTGGGAAAAGTGGGCTTGTGGTATTTTGGATGGTCTAAAATATACCTTTAATAATATAAGGCCACTGTATCTGCAGAATTACTTTCCCGTTTTCCTCCATTCTTTTATTTTAGTGTCTGTCAAAACAAAACTCGTGGTTAGTAAACACATCCTCTCAATTTCCTCAGCCAATTTTGGAAGCAAGTATTTTTCTTAAATGTGAGTTCATGTAAAGTCAAAATTTTCCAAATCAACATATGTTTATATCAAACACTTTTCTTTACAGAATATTATTTCATTATACTTATACAATATTCTATGTCTGACACACAATGGCCACTCAATAAATGTTGGTTGAATTAATGACCCAACCTATTGTATCAAACAGGTAGTGTGATACTTAACATATTGAATATTCTCACAGGAAAGCCAAGAGATAGTAACATTCTTAGTAAAAGCTAATATTTATCATGCATGTACCAGTCAGTGCATACACAGGGTGACATTCAATCTGCACAGCAGCACTGTTGGTAGGTTCTATTGTTGTTTCCATTTTCTATACGGGTAAAATGAAGGCAAAGAGTTATGAAGGACACATAGCAAGCAAGGACTTCAACCCATGTCTGTCTGATTGCAGTACCCATTGCATAGCACTATGGGCAGTTTAAGGAGAAAATGGAAGGACAGCCAAGATGCAAAAGGGAATCTAAAGATCTGGACTGGCTAAAAACGATCAATCACATTTATGTCCATAATTCCACCTTCCTTTTCTTGATACTTGAACTCTGAGTATCTTGAGGAGCCAGCAGAGAAGAGAAATAATTCAAGCAAGTGGTCTGCTTTAACTCTACCTTCCTGTATTACTCCGCACTATGCGGCCTCCATTTACATAGGGAACTAGACCCTCCCTGAGCTGGGCAACAACTGGGAGTAATGTTGGTCAGACTCGCATCTCCTGGGTGTTTTCTCTTTCTTTAGCAGTTGTGCTGTGTCTAGGCTAGTGGTTCCCAATGTGGGTCCTTGGACCTGCCGCATCAGAATCACCTGGGAACTTGTGACAAATGTACATTCGAAGGTCTTATCCCAAAGCTGCTGAATGAGTCTGGGCACAGGGCCCAGCAATCTGTGCGGCAGCAAGTCGTCCAGGTGATTCCAACGCAGAGAATTTGAGAACCGTTGTTGTTGAGCAAAGTATGGCTTTCAGGAGGCTTCCCATGTGTTTGAGAGAAAGGAGGAATGTCGGGGGGGTGGGGTGGGTAGATTTATAAAGTATTTAAAGGTAATAATGTACATGGTTTCACTTTTTAATTTCACCTTTTAAAAATGCACCTTCTTTGCTACTTAAGCTCCACTGTTTTGAGGGAAGGACCAGCCAACAGCACCCACCCCAGCTGGCTTTAGACCTTCCGAGGTTAGGAGAGGTGTGATGTGGGGAGTAGGATGACGTGGGGCAACCGGAAAGCATAGTATGGGGAAGGAAGAGAACAGAGTCACTGATGATCTTTTCTCTTCCGCACAGGAGACAGCGGTGAACAGTCCTTCTTCCTAGTCAGTTTGGGGAAAGGCAGAGCATGTTCTCCTTAAAGAATGTTCTGCTGTAACACATTTGAAAAGAGTAAAGGAAGTGGTGGGGAGGAAAATCATGCAAGGATAACTGTTATCTTGACTTCCCACCCTCAGATTGGATGGAGGGGGAACACAAACATACAATGGGGTAAATAGAAATATATAGCAAATGCTACACTTAAACTTGGAGACCACAGTCTTTCCAATTCAGTGATTTTTTTTTTTTAAATGGCATTCAAACTTTGTTTTGCTATGGAAAACAAACAAAAAATCAAATAAAATCTCCCCCAGAAATTAGGTTATGATGCAGCCTTGCTGCCAGTAGCCTTATTACTTATGAGCTGTGGAAATATCAAAAACTTGGAATAACACTCATTACATTGATATAAACAGAATAAGCCAGATGGCTTACTACTGATCTTGTACAACCGAGAAGCTCTAATGATTTATCATCCAGCCTTGGATATGTGATTTAGACTTTATGGGAGCTAAACTTGTTGGATTCATTCCAAGCTGATATGCTTTCCTTTCCATTTTTAATTTATACCACTTTAAATGGAGATATAGAGCTTTAGTTCTCAGAATTGCCAATCTTTACATATATTATATATGAGCCTGGCAATTTAGAGTCAAAAAATGAAAAGTATGTCATTTTATTGAATTTGAAATTCTCTAAGTTTAAGTGCATTTAAAGGAAAATGTGAAAATAGAGGTCCATATCTGTTACAAAATAGTTTCTTTGAACCTTAAAAGCCGAATTTTATTTTTCTTCTGCATTTCACACATGGTATAAAGATAGTACTTTCGGCTCCAAACAGTAATCTAGGAATTGAATGCATAAAATATGATGTTATCAATAGAAATTGTTGACATAGAAAAAATGATATTCTTGTTCATAGTTACAAGTTTATATTGTGGGGTTGGTTGGGGACACAGTGGCACTGTATTAGAGAAAGGATAGAAAATGGAATTCAGCTATGGTAATCCGTCCTGTAAACAAATAGCATGAATGGTGAAAAGCACTCTGCCTTGTAAACTGTTTTTTAATGTAGACTAGTCTCAGTATGAATTGTCTAAGAACACATATAAATGTGGATTATCTAAATACTGTCTTTCTTCAAATTCCCTGTCATCAATCCAGGCTTAAGACAGTGGTTAGTTTTGTTTTGGAGAAACTGGAAAGAAAGTGGTCAAGCTTTTTGAGTCCCAAAAGAAATAGTATCTTTTGCTTCCTCAGAGGGAGGCTGAAGGAGCAGAAACAGTAACTTGGCCTGCAGCTGTACTGGTGGGTGTCCATGATGGACAATGAAAACGCATCTTATTTGATGGATTGTAGCTGCTAGAATTATTAGGAGTTACCACTTGTTTTTCGGAAAGAAGTAAGACTTTACCACAAATGAATTTTGTCATAAGTATATTTATTTGTATTAAATAGAAACTCGGCTTTAAGCAAACAGTGATATACATAAATCCCTTGTTTTATCAGAAATAGGGACAAAAACACTAACATTTCACAAAAATTCTTATTTGCAAAAGTCAATGTAGCAACTGTTTTGCAAGACAATTCCAAATGAAGTACATTTTGGCATTTGCTATTAGTTTTTAAACAGCTTTG